AGGAGGCGGGGCTGTACCCTGGGGGCGGGGCTCGGGCGGCAAGCCCGGAGGGCTGCCGGGTGGAGACTGAGCTCCGCCACCCGGTGAGGGGCGCGTCTGGAGGGATCTGAGAGCACCTAGACACGTGGCAGCCACTTGGGAGGCTTTAGAAAAATGCGGATGCCGGAGTCCCCCTCACTCCTAGAAATTATGATGAAATTGGTCCAGGGTGCAGCCTGAGCTGCAGAATCGGGAAGGGCCAAGGAATGGAGGAGAGTGGCTATTTCTGACCCTTTTTCCTGTTTCCCTCTTCTTTCTCCCCGGGATCCTTTTCGGAAGCTTCCTTTGCCTACACACCTGCAGGTAAGCCACCCCCGACTGCCCCGTGGGGTTCAGGCCCCGCACGGGCTCTTCTCTCATCCAGCCTCCCTCGTCTTCCCCAGTGTCCTTCCCACACTCGGAGGGCCTCTCGGGAGCCAGTTCCAGGTAATTCTCTTAACGCATCTCCCAGGGACAGTCCCTTCCACTGACAGACACATCCCTTCCTCTCCAGCCTCGGGAGCCTCAGCTGAGGGCCCCCACCCCAGACACCACGGCCACCGTCCTAGAGCCCCCGACTGCCCCTGCCTCCTCTGCTGGCCCCCGCCTTTCCAGGCTCCCCACCCCAGGGTCCACATGCTCTCCCTCAGGCCACCCGTGGGCCTCGGCCCTGCTCCCTACCCCTGGCTGGCAGACTCCTGGCCCCACCCATCTCGAAGCCCCTCAGCCCAGGAACCCAGGGGAAGCTGCTGCCCCAGCAATCCCGACCCAGACGACAGATATTACAATGGTGAGGAGTTCGAATTCGCCCACCTGGCCCCAGCACCCTTCTCGGCTCCCAGCCCGCTGGGGCACACTGGGGGGAGCTGAGGAGCCCCAGTGTCCTGAGGCTGGTGGGTCCCCGGGAGGGTGTGAGTTGGGGGAGCGCCCCTCTTGCCTCACCGGGCCCTGGTTTGGGAAGTAAGGTTTGGGGTCGGGGCAGAAGCGACCTGGTGGGATTCCCTCTGGCCCTCCATTGTCCTGTGGCCTGTTTTCCGTGCCTGCCGCTGCCTCCTCCCCGGGCCTCGCTCTTTCTCTCCCTCAGAAGCTGGGATCTCCCTCTACCTGGCTCAGACGGCCCGGGGCGCTGCTGCCTCCCCGGAGGGTCCCGTCTATAGCACCATTGACCCGGCTGGGGAGGAGCTGCAGACTTTCCATGGGGGCTTCCCCCCAAACTCCTCCGGGGACCTGGGCACCTGGAGCCAGTATGCTCCCCCGGAATGGAGCCAGGGAGACAGTGGTATGACTCCAGTTCCTCGTACCCCACGCTTCCCCTCTGGCCTAGCCCAGCACTTTCTTCTGACACGTCTCACGCTGCCTCTTTCCTGCCTGTACCTTGGCTCCTCCCCGCTCTCCTCAGGACCCAGGGGAGGCAAAGCGAAGCTTCTGGGGAAACCTGTGCAGATGCCCTCCCTCAGCTGGCCAGAAGCCCTGCCACCGCCACCTCCTTCCTGTGAACTGAGCTGCCTGGGGGGGCCTGAGGAGCTGGAGGCTGGGTGAGGGTGCATCCTGCTGCAGGCCCTGCACGCGGGACCAGCCCAGGCCAGGGGCGGGCAGAGAGCTGGGAGAGGAAGGGGAGCCGCAGCAGGAAGGCCAAGGGGGGTATGGAAGCTACTCAGCCATCCCCACCCTCCTGCCTCTTTTCCCAGCTCAGAGCCTGGAGAGTGGTGCCCACCGGTGCCTGAGAGGAGCCAACTGGCAGAGCCCAGCTCCAGCGGAGGGTGCTTGGTCCCTGCGTCCCGAGCGGAGACCCCCTCTCCCACACCTTCCTATGGACAACAGTCCACAGCCACTCTCACCCCCTCACCTCCCGACCCTCCCCAGCCCCTCACTGACACTCCCCATCTCCACCAGATGCCCAGGTAAGGAGGCGTGTAGTACCTTGCGCTTTATAGCCCTCAATACATATTTACTCAGTGGATGGATGGATGGATGGATGGATGGATGGATGGATGGATGGATGGCTCTGGGTACAGAGGTTTCATGGCTATATGAGGGTAGAAGTGTGGTTTGGGGAGAAACCTGGAGGCTCACAAGTCTCTCATTCCCTTCAGACTGTTTCTCCATCAGAGTGACTTTGCCAGCTCCTGGAGCGTTTCAGACATGGCTTCCTCATGGTCCGCTAGGGAGCCTGGTGGGGGCGGCCTGTGTCTTGTTTATCTGACACAGGGCTGAGTGTCTAACGCAGTGCCTGGCACATAGTAGGCACTTAGTGTTTGTTGAGTGAACAAGTGCTAAGGCCTCATGCCATTGCAGGAGGATGCCCCTTGAGCCAAGTTCCCCTCTCAGTGTGTCCCAGCCCGCCCTGAATAGCCACGAAGGGAGGCCTGCTGGCTCAGGGGCTGGCCCCACAGCCTCCCATCACTGCAGCCCCAGCCCTGTTCCTAGCACAGCCAGCAGTACCCCAGGTGAGTCTGTAGAGCCCTCATCTTGTCCCACTGCCCANTCCCACTGCCCACCCCCCCAGCTTGTTTACCCTCCCCCCTGAGGCCCCTCCCGGACCTTCTCTCTTACTGCTCCTCTCCTGTCTCCTAATGCTCCAGGGAGGACCCGGCAGGTGCCTGGGGAGATGACTCCTCCACTTCAAGGGCCCCGAGCCCAAATTCGGAAGAAATCCAAGGCTGTTCCCTACAGGCGGGAGCACAGTCCTGGGGGTGAGGGG